TGTGTGTGTGTGTGTGTGTGTGTGTGTGTGTGTGTGTGTGTGAGTGAAGCATTGGGGGAGGGGATTATATAACCAGGACAGTGATGGGGTTTGGAGTCCCTGTGTGCCAGACGCAGTGTAAGCACACATCTACATTAATGGTTCTCAGTCCTCACCACCGCTCCACTGTCATCCCCTCTCACAGAGACTGAGGCGCTGGTGACTCATTAACTTGTCCAAGGTGACACAGCCAGTGAGATAATGTGTCCACACCCTCTCCCAGCAAGCACACAGAAGGAAATCCATGTGTTTTTTGCATTCCTAGTCCCTAATCAGTCATTATTTGTCTTAATTTGTAATGTGTTGAATTATCTACAGGTTAAGGATTAACTCCATCCCCATAGGTTGCTGGATGATGTGTATTCTTGGGAAACGACCAGAGTGGTTCAGTGGCTGTACAGGTCCCCTCTGTCCCAGGTTTGGGAGAAGGAATTCCCTTCTGTCTTCAGTCAGTCGACATGTGGTTCCAGGGCTCTCGGGAAGATGAGAGACAGCGGAGAGTTTTACAGTCTCATGTGTCTTACGATGACCACAGTGAAGCCAGAGCGCCAGCAGAGGACAGCTGTCATTGTGATGTGCAGGACCATAAGTGAAAGTCACCTGCCAGGAAGCTCAGCTGTCTACCAGGAAGCTGGCACCAAGGAGATGATTCTTGACCTGGGTCTTGGAGGACAGGAGAGTTGGGCTGGCTGAAGGCCTGTGGTCAGCAGACCAACAGCCTCAGTACTCTTCCCCCTCTTATCCCAGAGCTTGGCTTCCTGCGGGTGTGTGTGGCTCTCACCTGAGCCTGTGACTGGCTGGATGAGTCCAACAGCCTTGGCCTGGGTAGGATACGGAGTAGTTCTAAACTCAGTCCTTGGAGTTGGGAATAGATTTAGGATCACCAGCCCTGAGGATTCCATGCCCAATAGGTAAAGACAAGGATAGGCTTTGTAATTGGGATTTCTGCTTCCTTTGGGAATGGGGTACAGTGAATACCTGTTGCCTAGACCCTTCATGCTCACTTCTTTCAGGGCACAAGTAGGTAGGAATCCTTCAATGAACAGTCTGCCAGGCGCCAGCCCTTTGAGGCACATCCATTGACTCCTAAGAACCTCCTGATATGTACCGAGTGTTGGTCTTGGTTTTGAACAAGACAGGCAGGACCTTCTGTCTCCCAGAGAGGTTCAGCTCTTGAGGGGGAAAATACAAGCTAAACAGAAAAAAATGAACTCTTTAGGCTGAGGGTTAGGAAGAGAGTAAAATTGGGATCAGAATATAGTGACTGGGGGATCCTAGCTGAAAAGGAATACTCCAGCTGCTTGCAAGAGTACTGCTGTCTGTTTTTCAAGGGATGTCCAAATCTCATGCCCACATTTTTATATGCGATCGCCAGGGTTTTAGATGTTGATTTAGTTTCTTTTTTGTTTGTTTTAGAAACACCTTGCATGGCCAGCAAAGCGTGTGTCCCAGCCGATCCCACTCCACTGCAGAATGCTCTGTTGAGGAAGCCACGTCCCAGGTCTTTTGCGATAGACTGGCCACCTAGAACACTTACTTTGATGATGGTGGCTGCTCTGACTTTAATGAGTGGCCCACCGTCTGGCCTCTGAGGCTGTAGGTCATAGGGGATGAGACTGCCCATCTTCCTACCTTGGAGCGCCTGGTGGATTCTAATTGCTGGAGATTGGCAGCCTTTGAGTTAGCAGTGTGAATGGCTGTGGGCTGTGCCACTAGAGAGCTCTGTGATAGTGGTAGTTCCCTGTGTCATGGAAAAGGACCTTACGTGCAAGTCTAACGGAAGGGCAGAGCAGAAGGCTCTGGGTTCGGGAAACACATCACAGAGGTGGTCTCTTCTGCTGGGCCCTGAGGATGGATAGCAGGAATAGCATGAACAAGCTACAAAGAAACAGAAGGACCGTGCTGCCTTAGGAAATGACTCCTAGAGATATGCAGGCATTGTACGCTCTCTGTAGGGCAATTGTAATCGGGCGATCTGGAGCCAAATCAGGGAAGCTCTTGGGGAGTTGCTGAAGATTTTCAAATGGGGAGATAACATCAAAATATTCTGGCCTGGAGATGGGCAAGGAAGACTGGAGGTGAAAGGACTCCGCTAGTCGGGATTAGTCATCCCATTGTGAGGTGTTGACAAAGGCCCCCACCAAGAGGAAGCTAGGGGTGGTGTTGCATAGGCCTCCACCATTGAGCAAGAGGCTGCGCGTGAAAGGACCTGACCTGAAGTAGGCTTGGCCCCTGAGGCATGGCAGAGGTGGGATTCCACGATCCCATCAAGGCTTAAAGCCTGGGGCTTTGGGGACAGTGTAAAGTCAGCTGGAAGAGCTGGTTTGGGGAGTTGATGAAAATGGCTGTTTCAAATGGAAAAAAAAATTGAGGTGCTGGGGTTGGTATGTCCATAGGAAAGGGGAGGTGGTCAGAAGTGGAGGTGAAGGTTGAATCTCCACTGTGACTGAGTTCGGGAAGAAGTGAGAGAAGAGTCAGGAGGCCACATGGAAGGCCTTTACCAAGGGTCTGTCACAGAGGGGTAGTGGAGGGTGGAGACCTGCCACAGGGCCGGGGGCAGTTACACGGTTTACTTTTGACGGAGCGGTCAGATACTACCAGGGATTCAGAAGGGAGAGGGTCGTAGGCAGCTACTCATTTCGGAGAAGGCTGGAGAATTTTTCAGTCAGCTCTGCTTTCCATCTCTGTAGAGTTGCCTGTTTTGGATGTTTCCTATAAGGTGAATCACGAAATATATGGCCTCTTATGACTGACTTCTCTCATAGAGCACAGCTTTTGGATTTTTAAAGTTTTTATTTTATAGTGATTTGCATACAAAATTCATATACATTGTGTTTCATATAGTTGTTCTCATACATTGTGTTCCCCATTGAATTATGCCCACCATTAGCCCATCTTTTCAGGTCCCTTAGAGCACAGTTTTTTGGGGTCCACTGGTGTTTTAATAGACCACATTGTGTTTATCCATTATCAGCCGATGGGCTGATAATTTGGGTGGTTTTCACTTCCTTGCTACTGTAAGTAAAGCTGGTATGAACATGTGTTTATAAATTTCTGTGTAGACATGTTTTTCTTCCTTGTGAATAGCCTGTTTTCCTCCCCTCCCAGATTGGTAATACTGTTTGTTGTTATTGTGCCATTAAGTGGAACCAATTCATAACTGACCTTCTAGCAGGTTTTTCAGAGACACTGAAACAAGCGGGAAGAGATTGCCCTTTTTTTCCCCCCTGTAGAGTAGATGGGGGATTTGAACTGCATGCTTTTGAGTTAGCAGTGCACTTCTTTACCCACACAGCCACAGAGCTCCTAGGTTGATAATAGTCTCATCTATTCATTTGCTTAGTTTCTAAGTTCCCGTAACTAATTGAGCCCTTGTAACTTCGGTATGATGGTCCATGCCTTTTTCCCCTTGGTCATGTCTGTCCTGAACTTCAGTCTT